CATGGAAGTTTTGGGAAGCTTGGATTATATTAATCTTTAACGTTAGAGGATTTTATATTAATAATTCTTTCAGCTTTACTATTTATTTCTTAAATCTTTTTGTATTCTGTGTTCATTTAAATATTAATTGTTTGGTATTCCCTCGGGTTTGGGCTTAGGCCTGATCAACCCATGTTTCGGAGTCGAGGGGTATCATAGAATAGTACCATTAGGAACCTTAACGGAGGAAAACGAAGTCGCCAGAGTCGGAGAAGATGAACTGGAGTAGTTCGGTCAACATCTAGTACTTTCGATCAACCGGTTTACTAAATCGGTCGACATCTAAAGAAAACGCCAACCGGTTTGTAAACCAGTTGACGTCTAGAGAAAAATGTCAACCGGTTTGCTAAACCGGTTGACATCTAGAGAAAAACATCGACTGGTTTAAGGAATTAGTCGACAGTTTGGTTCAGTGTTGGATTATTGCTTTAAGATGTGTTTGGGGTTATTTTAATAACATCAGAATGTTAAAATCAGCTCAATAAAATACTGGAATGTATAATACTCAATATAATGTGCTAGGTAGGGAATTTAATTAACTTGAAGGTTAATTTATGGATGAATATATGCATTAAACTGCTTTAATGAATTAATTGGATTTAAATACTTTAATCACATTAAGGAGGCTTAGACAATCTATTTGAGATGCATGTTATTTTTCTTAGAATGTAAATTAATTGCATGCTACTTGAAGTTGTTATTGTTGCTTTATTAATGCAAAGATTATACATATGATTTATTATCATGTTATTGATGTATTGCTTTATATTTGTGCATCACAGATTGGATTGTATGATTTAATGCACCAGTATAGGACGGTAGCTTTATAGGGACGGATTAACCAAAGAAGTTAAGTACTACCTATTAGTTTATAAGGGAATGGATTAACCATAGAGTTAAGTCCTCCTTATTCGTATCAGGTCACTGTATCAGATGGATGACATTTGTTTTATGCTTATACGGATCTTTATATATATTATTATATGCCATGATATGAGTTTGAGTCTCAAGATCAGTGATTAGGATGCGTATATTGCCAAGGATGTGTAGCTAGATATAGTGTAGTTGCATACCCTAGTAGGTCTAGGTATTCATGCCCACTATATGTGCGTTTTGCATGTTACCTATTATTCAGGTTGAGACAACCCTATAGTACTCTAGTGAGGTTCCTTTAATGTGTGTGTGTGTGTGTGTGTGTGTGTGTGTGTGTGTGTATATATATATATATATACGGACTATTAATTATTGTTGAGTTGACTAGGATGTATATGTGTATCGGATCTTTACTTGAGTAAAACTTGTTTGTCGGTCTGACCCACTATTATTTTTCAGGTGTTCGACAGTTCTAGTCTTAGAGCTTGATCGTGCAGAGCAGAGACAGTTCTTCACTCTACCGACTTGACGCAAGGTTTTATCTATGTTATCTTCATTTCAGTTTTTACTTTTGGATTATTATTAGGGTTCCACATGATGGATTCCCGAGTTGTATGGTATTAGAGGATTGGATTTAGTACTGGAGGATTTTATGGAATTATTTTATTGAGGATTATTTTATTAAATCAAGGATTTATTATTTTAGTTTCTCTTTCCGCTTATAATTTTATTCTTTTTTTTTTTTGGTACTCAATGCTTGTTTAAATATTAATTGTTTGGTATCATTTGGATATGTGCTCGGACTTGATAACCCGTATGTCACGGGCTTAGAGTTGCAGCACCACTCTAGCTACTTCTGTGCGGCACCAAGACGTTGTTTTTACTCTCGTAAGTACTTGGTCAGCCTAACTCCCGTGTCTACCTTAGCCAACGCACTTCCCTCGTGCACTTACTAGTATTGTAGTGGCGCTCGCCCTCTCCTCACTTGGCTTGCACACTTACACACACTAAGGCACTTAAGTTGGCAAGGAAAGAACACTTCTATTACTACGAAGAATGTTTTGTACAAGGCTAGCTCTCAAACTCTCTACAAGACTTTCAAGATTCACTCCAGGACTTGATGGCTACAAAATGAAGTCCTACTCCTAGCTATAGGCATCCCCATCCCTAATGGACTGCTATGATACATTATAACCGATGGTGGAGATTTATTATCTAGAATCTTCTTCCACCTTCTTCACACTTGCATACATATCTACAACATTATAGAACTCTCCATACTACTCCATATTCTAGAGAACTTTAGAACCTTCTACAACTTCTACAACTTCTACACATTTCTTCACATATGTAGAATCTTCTACACAACTCTAGGCTACTCCGGAAGACTCTAGAAACTCCCATGTCATGCAGTCGCCATGCAGCGTCTTACTCAGCGCCAACGTGTCACCTGCGTAGCGTAACCTCCATAGTCGGGGCGTGACATTCTCCCCCACCCATTTCTGTGACGCCCTCGTCACGGTTTCTTCAGCTGACCCAGCCTCTCGCAAGTCATCAGCACTTACGCATATGTCCTTGGCCCAAACGTACACGCGCCCTTCAAGAGATGTGAGGTCCTTACGAGCTCCATCGTGTTGACTGCCACCTTTGGACTCTCCCTCCTGCCCACGAGCGGCACCATACATATAGCCTTGCCTTCCTCGCTTCCAAGTATCATCAACACACTAAGGCATGGTAGTGGCGCAGCGTTGTCCGGGCACCATATCGTGGTCGTCTATCTCTGCAACCTGGAAGTTGGCCTTGCCATTCCACCCTTACATGCATAACTCCACTTACTTCCACACTCTGCTCACTCATGCTTCCTTAGAGTTGACCGTCTTAATCCAGCCTTCCGTCTTACGTATCTCCAAGCCAAGTCGCTGCGCCTCTTTCAGGGTAATGAAGTTGTGTGTTGCGCCCGTGTCCATCAACGCTTGCACGGCTTTGCCACTAACCTGTGCGTCGACATAGCGCACCCCGGTTACCTTCTTTGCCTTGTCCTTCTTCTTGGTGTCATGTGCCAGGCTACTCAGCATCTGCATAGCCCCCATACACATGTCTTCGTCGCTGCTAGCATCGTCCATCTTACCCTTGCCCTTATCCTTCACAAGGGCACTTATAGTCTTCTTGTTAGGGTAGTGTCGCAATATGTGCGGCCCATTGAACAAATAGCACTTCGGCTCCCATTTACCCTTATCGCGGCGCTCCCCTTTGCCACTAGGCTTGGACCTCTCTCGATGGTCCTTGCCCTTGTCATGGCATGGGCGTTTCTTCTCGCCACTGTGCTTATTATCACTGGACTTGGACGAGCCCCCCTTTCTTGAAGCGCCGGTCTCCCCTACCTTTGCCGTAGTCTCTCCTGGGAGACGTGGCCCTCTTGCCATTGCGCCTAAAGTCTTCAAGGCGCTTCGCTATAACCATTGCGGATGCTAAGTCTCTAGGCTCCCTCTTCCTAAGCTCCGTGGCCACCCAAGATTGCAGCCCAACTATGAATAAGCACACACGTTGCTGCTCCTGCATCTCTAAGATCTCTAGCATCAAGTTGGAGTACTCCTTCACATCCTCCCTTATGTTGCCCTTTTGCTTCAGGCGCCTTAGGTTGATCATAGCAAGGTCCTCAACGCACTCAGGGTAGAACTGCCTTTTGAGTTATCTCTTGAACTCCTTCCATGTGTCAACCGCTCTTGCGCCCCTACCAGTGAAGCGCTGCATTCACCATAGAGCGGCGGTGTCCATGAGGTACACGGTGCCTGTCTGCACCTTCTCCTCATCATTCTCGATCTTTATACACTCGAAGTACCGCTCCATGTGCCAAAAGAAGTTGTCAATCAAGCGCACGTTCTTTGCCCCATCGTACTCCTTGGGCTTCGGCGCCTTCTCTTCCTTGACTTCACTACGACCTCGCGCGTCTAGGAGAACTCTTTCTTGCACTCAGCAATCTCCACGCGCAAGTCGTCTACTCGATCATGCAAGTCCCTTTCCTTCTCTCGTGGCTTGATGGCGATGCCGTCAATCAGCTCATAGAGCTCCGCCATCTTTTTCTCTAGCCTGTTGAACTTGGTCTCCGTGTAGACCAAGTGTGTGGCGAGCTTCTCCTCCAAGCACTGTTCCAAGACATGGACATGGTGGTCTCCTTCGCTAGCCATGTCTACTCCAACAAGCTCCCTTCACGAACCTGCTTTGATACCAACTGTCATGAGCTTAGAGTTTTAGCACCACTCTAGCTACTCCCGTGCGACACCAAGACGTTACTTCTACTCTCGCAAGTACTTGGTCAACCTAACTCCCGTGCCCACCTTAGCCAACACACTTCCCTCGTGCGCTTACTAGTGTTGTAGTGGCCTTTGCCCTCTCCTCACTTGGCTTGCACACTCACACATACTAAGGCACTTAAGTTGGCAAAGAAATAACAATTCTATTACTTCGAAGAATGCTTTGTACAAGGCTAGCTCTCAAACTCTCTATAAGGCTTTCAAGACTCACTCCAGGACTTGATGGCTACAAAATGAAGTCTTACTCCTATTTATAGGCATCCCCATCCCTAATGAACGGCTAGGATGCATTCTAACCGATGGTAAAGATCTATTCTCTAGAATCTTTTTCCACCTTCTTCACACTTGCATAAATATTTATAAGTATCTACAACATTCTAGAACTCTCCACACTATTTCACACAATTTTGGAGAACTTTAGAACCTTCCATAAACTTCTACACATTTCTTCACAGATCTAGAATCTTCTACAAAACTCTAGGCTACTCCGGAACACTTTAGAAACTCCCATGCCATACAGCGTCCTACTCAGTGCCTGCGTGTCGCACGCGTAGCGTAGCCTCTATAGGCGAGGCGTGACACGAACCTCTAGAATGAAGGGGTATCACAATACCATTACATATACCAAACAAGCCCTAAGGCTTGGTATTAAGCAACTATTCCACTTTGTCCTATTAGTCAAGTAAATACTAGTAAATTAGAAGTTATTTTGAAATGATAAAAGAATAATATTACCAACTTGACTGTTGCTAATTGTGGAATCTTGCAAAAGAAAATTAATAAAATAATAATAATAATAAATAAATAAATAAATAATTGTTGAATCCAACAGCCCGAGGTCCGCCATTGTTTTTTTAAATGCAATTTTTAAAGATGGAAGAGTAGCTGAATCCACTCGATAATGAGCAACTCCAATTGTAAGTGTAATAAGTTGGGATCCACGAAAAACTGATCAAATAGTCCTGTAAACTCTAATGGCAGAAAAGCCAACCCTCCAACCACATGTACTTATCTTTCCCTTACCCCTCCAAGGCCCAGTCAACTGCATGCTCAAGGTCGCCGAGCTTTTCTGTCTCGCCGGCTTCCATGTCACCTTCCTCAACACTGACCACGTCCACCGCCGTCTCCTCCGCCACTCCCACCTCCACTCCCGTTTCGCTCCATTTCCAACCTTCCGTTTCAAAACCGTTTCCGATGGCCTCCCGGAAGATCACCCCCGCTCCGGCGATCGATTAATGGACATCTTTGATGCTTTGGAAGCCGTCACGAAACCCCTTTTCCGGGGGATGCTAATCTCCGGTGTATTCAGTTCTGAAGCAGGAGTGCCGGTCACCTGCATCATAGCCGATGGGGCCTTTGATTTCGCTCTTGATGCTGCCAAAGAAGTCGGAATTCCCCTGATTTATTTCGATACGATCAGTCCTTGCTGCGTCTGGGTTCATCTCTGTATTCCCAAACTCATTGAATCCGGCGAGCTTCCATTCAAAGGTGGGTTAATTTAGCTTCCTCCATTTTAATAATTTACAGTCTGTTTGGTTACTGAGAAAATGCTCTAAATAATTAAAAACATAGGTTTTATAGCCTTACACTTGAATTTTTCCATTCAGAGGTGGTTTTATAGCCTTACGATTCTTCCACTCTAACTAAATTACAGTCTGTTTGGTTACTGAGAAAAATGCCCATGCCCGAAAGAAATAAAAACAGAGGTTTTAGCCTTACACCTGAATTTTTCCTTTCAAAGGTGGTCAATTAGTTTCTTTCACTTTTAACTAATTTACAGTCTGTTTGGTTACACTGAGAAAATGGCAAAATGCCCTAAAGAAATAAAAACAGAACCATATTTGTACACTCTCATCACATTCTACCTTCTAACTAATTGACACGTACCCATTTGCAACAGGAAATGACTTGGACACTCCGATCACAAGTGTACCAGGCATGGAAGGTTTTCTCCGGCGCCGTGATCTCCCGATCTACTGCCGTGCCGGAGACGTCTCTATCCCTGTTGTACAAATCATCTTGGCGGAGGATCGACAACTCCCAAAAGCCCACGGACTCATACTCAACACGTTCGAAGAAATAGAAGGACCCATACTCTCCCATATTCGTTCTCTCTGTCCAAACCTCTACTCTATCGGACCACTCCAGGAACGCCTCAAGATCAGGCTCGCCGAAGAAACAACGTCGCCGCCCGCGTCCTCCAACGGTCTGTGGGAAGAAGACGGTGGCTGCATGACATGGCTCGACGCTCAACCGTTGAGATCAGTGATCTATGTCAGCTTTGGGAGTCTCGCCGTCACCAGAACGGCCGACCTCAAGGAGTTTTGGCACGGTCTGGTAAACAGTGGAAAGCGGTTCTTGTGGGTCATACGTGATAACGGCGTCGCCGGAGAAGATGGGGATCGTCAGATTCCGGCGGAGTTCTCTGACGGTAGGAAGGAGGGAGGATATATAGCACGGTGGGCCCCGCAGGAGGAGGTGCTGGCCCACCCGGCGGTTGGTGGTTTTCTGACCCACAGTGGGTGGAACTCGACGTTGGAGAGTATAGTCGCCGGAGTGCCGATGCTTTGCTGGCCGTACTTTTTTGACCAGCAAGTCAACAGTAGGTTCGTCAGCGAGGTGTGGAAGATTGGTTTGGATATGAAAGATTTGTGTGACCGGGTCGTGATTGAGAAGATGGTCAACGATCTGATGGACGTGAGGAGGGATGAGTTGGTGTGCTCCGCGGAAAATATGGCAATGTTGGCCAAGAGAAGTGTTAGTGAAGGTGGGTCATCGTTGTGTAATTTGAACCGTTTGATTGAGGACATCAGATCGATGAGTGTTTGATCACGATGATGTTGCTAAAGTTTGTTTGAAAATTGAGCTGTTCTCAGAAAATAAATAGTGTTTCATTGCGTCAATGGGGTGGCATCATGTGAGTTTTGGACTATTTTGGCTTGAATAATTGAGATTAAATAAAAAGTTAGGTGACAAAATATAAATTTAAGGAATAATTTTAAAAGAACGGTACTTTGGAGGTCGAATGACAAATAAATGGAGTCAAAATTCTAATTTTTTAAATTAGGGTAAAATACAGCCATACTCCTGAGGTTTAGTAAAACGACACTCAGATGAAACTTATATATTTTTTTGGACAATGACACCCCAAAAGTTTCAAAAATGGACAAAGACACCCCTTTACATGATAAATTGACCAAATTACCATTTCACCGTTTAAGAGACTTTTTTAACTTTACCATTTAATAAATTGGATCAATCTACCATGAACAATTTATGCATAATAAAAAAAAAAAACTTTATATTGTTCACTTTTTTTTTTTTCTTTTTTTTTGTTATTTACTTTATAAATGTCCCAACTTCTTTAAAATGTAAACGTCTAAAATGATTTTTTTATCCAATACATATATTTCAAATAAATTATATTTTATTATTACTTCTTTTCTTTTTATTTTTTATTTTTAAATTAAGATGTTCAATTCTTTCATCTAAAAAAATTAAACCATTCTCATTTCCTTAAAAATAAAAAATATAATACCAGTATAACTTTATACATCTTAAATTATATATCAAATATTATGCATTTCTCAACATAAAAGAAAATAGGTACCAATATAAATTTATGCATCTTAACTTTATGCATGCCTTTGTTTTTTTTTTTTTTTTTTCCTCTTTGTTTTATTATTATTTCTTTCCCTTTTGTTTCATTATTATTTTTTTCCCTTTTATGTTGGGAAATGCATAATATTTGATATATAATTTAAGATGGATAAAGTTATACTGGTACCATATTTTTTTATTTTTAAGGAAAATAGATTGGTTTAATTTTTTTAGACGAAAGAATTAAGCATCTTAATTTAAAATAAAAAAGGAAAAAAATAATAATAATAAGAACAAAATATAATTTATTTGAATTATATGTATTGGATCAAAAAATCATTTTAGACGTCTACATTCTTAAGAAGTTGAGACATTAAAAAAAAAAAAAAGAAAAAAAAAAAGTGAATAATATAATTTTTTTTTTTATGCATAAATTGTTTACGAAGTTATATTGGTTCAATTTATTAAATTGTAAAGTTAACTTTAAATTGTTGTATCTCCTTCATTTTAACTCTGAATTGGTCCGTTTTTGAGTTTAAACTAACCGCGTCAAAATAAAATTTCGAATGGTATCAATTAGAGTTTCAGATTCTATTTGTAGATCAAGATATTCAAGTTTTAGTAAGATATTGTTAAGATTTGGTTCGAACCGGATTGAAATTTTTCTTCTTTCGACTTCAAGACTACATTTTCATGGCAAACATATCATATTATAAACAAAACACATCATATACCATGTCTATTGACTTTTAAAAAAAAAAAAAAAAAAACACCAGAAATGGCAAGACGTGTTATAAATTACAACGTGTTTGGTTTTGTCCATTTGTGCCAATACTGCCAACTACTTTGGATGGTCATGAAGACAAGAGTTTCGTATTTTACTCTCTAATTTATATGGATGACTATATGGTTTTGCTTTTTGACTAACATATCACATGTTTTTCCAACTCGTGTTATCGGCTGTTGGAGGGATCAAGGAAGCTACGTCCTCCATGACAGAAGGTAATATATTCCACGTTTTATATGGTATATACATGCATCTCTAACGGAAAAATCAGATTAAGATTGCAAGATAGATATATATATATATATATATATATATATATAATAACGGAAAAATCAGATGCATGTATATACCATATATGACTGTGTAATATACACGTATTATTAATATATGTATATTGTTTTATACTTTGACTATTAAAGTGCTGACGTTAGTGTTGAATCCAATGGCTCAAGTTGTTACTAAGCTTTTCAACATCACGTCACCAAACTTGGAATCTTTTGAAAAACATAAAAAAGGACTCATAATTACAGTTGTTTCCTTATACTAACAATTTGATCGCGTTTATTATAAGGAGAAGGGTATCTTTGTATATTATAAAGGGAAGGGTATCTTCGTAGTTTCATTTTAAATTCTATACTTCTATGTTGGAGAACTTTAGACTTTTTCTTTTTTTTTTTTTTTCTTTTTTTTTTTTTAATTTCAATTTTAAGACTAATTCATACTTCTATTTACAATACAATTTAAATTGTAAATTTATATATGTATATTTTTTAAGCATTTGATTCTTACGCGCTTGTGATAATAGTTGTTTAGATTACAACTTATGTTGCATGGATACAGACACGAATACGAACACAATACGATCCGAATATGTGAATACATCAAATTTTTAAAAAGTATAACACGGATACGGCATGGACACAACTACATAAAAATATAAATTTTTATTATTATACTACTTTGTCATTATAATATTCATATTATTTATAGTATTTATATTATTTTCAAGATTATGAGTAGACTTGTGTTAGAAATATCCAAGAAGTATACTGAAAGTGTCGACAAAGTGTCCGGGAAGTGTCCGAAATAATAAAATTAATTTTATTTATGAACACGTATATGAAGTGTCGGACACGTATTCGAGTAGTATCGGTGTCCGACACGGATACGACTCCTTCGTAGAAATGTCCGTACTTCCTAAATTACAACATAGTTGAATTGTTGATCCAATGATAAAAATAATTTATATTATAAATTTTAATTTACTATTAGAAATAGAAATTAAGGGCATGTTTGTGTTTTTTTTTGTTTGGGATAGTACATTATAGCGAGACAAAAGCACAACGCATGTTTGATAACATTTGTTGTGATTTGAATAGTGTTGAAACGCTTTCGAAAAAGGGACCAAAATCGGAAGGATTAAATTGATACTTTCAGTTGCTTCCACACTATAGTAATAAATAGTACCAAAAAAAATAATCTAAAATAACCTTTTTAATTTGTCATTTCATTTTTCAAATTTGAAGCATTTTTATATATATATAAAATGTTTTCAAGTTTTTGTTTCCAAAAATCTTGCGACAACCATATATTACCAAACATACTTCCAAATATATTACTAAATGGTGGAATAGTAATTTGGTCAATTTTTCATGCAAATAGGTGTTTTCGTCCAAAAAACAAGTAAATTTTTTCTGAGTGTCCTTTTGTCAAACCTCGGAGAGTAGAGTTTTTTCAAATGCTGGCATAAATTTTACTGTAAATCATTTTTTCATTCCCAAATTGCCCATCATATATTGTTGCGAATTGACCCAACTACCCATTAAAGCTAAATGATACCCAAAAGCATGTGCAGTTGGAACAGGAATAGACCCTCTGGTCTCTCTCTTCTCTCGTGGCTGCAACAAAATCAAGAGGCAAAACAAATCATGAAGGACTCTAAGCCATGGAGACCCTTCACTGCAAATTGTTGTTCAGTGTAAGACAATATAATTTTCGGTAATTTTAGCCGGTGCCGTCCTCGCGGTCGGATTTTTCTAAGAACGTGAGCCCTCACCGTCCTTTCGCCGCCTGTCATTCTCGGATTTGAGTCGTTCTTCATCGACTCGCATCAATGAGGACTTTGCACAGTCATTTGGACCGAACTGGCATGATTTTCAACTAGATGGGTTACGTGGTATAACTCATAATTTTTCGAGCAATTTCTTGTTACGTGAAGGTGGTTATGTTTTTTCCAGCAAAATCTTCTCAGCCTGTCGTTCTTCTCTGATCTCTTCACGTTTTTTTCTTCTTCTATCTCTCTGATCTCTCTCGCCGGTGGCATATGTTCTTCTGATCTTGACAATAGATCTGTAAATTTAGTTGCACATCTTGAATCTTATCTATTGACTTTAAATTGAATATATTATATAGTATATTCTGTTAAACTGGAAAAAATAAAAATAAATAAATAAATTTCTATCACTGAGCCGTCCTGAGTGTGTCGCCGGCGTACGGCGTGTCCGTCTTGAAAAGAAAAATATATATATATCGGACACCTCTGCAAGGTGTTGGACTAGTGTTTGAGACTCGAATAAGCGTGTCCAAAGCGAGTACAGCACACCATTGCAAGCATTCTTGATGCAACGAGCCCATTCCGAAACTAATTGGACCATGCAATGGTCGCATTGAAATTTCCCATCATTGCCAACCATTTCTGCATCCCATCATTGCCACGCGGACCAGTGCTAATATTTTTTTTTGTATCATTCCGATTTTATCAAATGCGTTCCAAAGAATTTTCTTGTCATGTTTTTTTTTTTTTTTTTGTGTTCTTCAACCGATGCTGCTTTAAGCCTTTGACTACATGATCATCAAAAATTATTAATTGATCTAGACTCCTGAATTACATGGTTATGCGAATCATAATTTAACACACAATAAATTAATATGTCAATTTTATTTTATTTTTTTGCCTACTGCATGTCAATTTGTTATTGACCGGATCATTTAAGATGGGTAATTTATACGGATCTCCACTATGATTTGTTACAATTATATGGACCTCCTCTGTAATTTGAAAATTTATTCAGACCTTCCATAAAAATAAAAATATTCTACATGGACCTCTTATGGAATGTGCTGACGTCATGTACAAAATTTATTAAAATTCCCATAATACCCTTGTCCCTATCATTTTATATATATGTAACCTTGAGGCACTGTGATTCATCTACCTAAACAGTCGGAAATCTTCGGCTAGTGACGAACCGACCGAAGAAGTAGTGTGATTCATCTACCTAAACAATCGGAGAAGCTTCATTCTTGAAAAACAGGTGAGACCCAAAAAGTTGTAGCAACCAAATCATATAAACTCACATCTACAGAACCGGCAAAAATACAGAACTTCAGATTAACGAAGACCCATTTTGATCAGAGTTGCATTAAAGATGGTTGATTCCTCCATTCCAGCAAAGCCCATACCAAATTACGGTGTTTA